GCCCCCACCCCTCCGGTAGCCCGCCTCAGCCCGCTTGCACTCACCCTTCTCGCTGTCATGCTCCTCCCCGCTGGTGCAGTCTGGCGTGGACCTGAGCTCGTCGTCCGAGGAGGAGAAGGAGCGCTGCGGCACGGGGTGGTGGGCGTGCGTCCTGGCGTGGCCCGGGCCGGCGGCGTGGCCGTGGGGCCCCGGCCCCGCCCGCTTGGTGGAGCCTTGGCGCTTGTGCGGCTTTCGGCCCGGCGGCCCGGCGTGCGTGCCGGCGTGCGGGTAGGCGTGCGGGTGCGCGTGCATGCTGGGCACCATGCCGGGCCCGGGCCCCATGTCCATGGACGAGCTCTGCTCCGAGCTGAGCGAGTCGTGCCGGTAGTGCGGGGCCATGGGCCCGCCCATGTGCGCGCCCCCCATGGGCCCCATGGGCCCCATGCCGTGCGCCGCCATGCCCATGGGCCCCATCGGCCCCATGGGCCCCATGGGCGCCATGCCGGGGCTCATGACGGCCTGCTGCTGCTGGTGCGAGCGCATCAGGCCCTCCAGCTCGCCGCGGTAGTAGCGCTCGTCGTCCTGCTGCGAGTACTGCCGCCGCAGCCCGAGCCCCCCCGCCAGCAGCGGCTGGTTCTCCTTCTCGGCGGCCGAGTGCGCGCGCTCCAGCTTGGGCCGCTTGTCCGCCTGCACGGACCCGGGCGTGCCCGGCAGCCCCGCCAGGATGCCGCCCTGCAGGTCGGCCTCGATGCGCCGCATGATGGAGTCCTGCTGGCTGCTCACCATGCCCTTGTTGATCCATTGGCCCGTCTTGCTCAGCAGCTCCTGCTTCTTGCGGCACAGGATGCACACCCAGATCACCTGGCGGACAACGGAAAGAGCACGTTAGTCGTTGTGGCTGACGAGGTTCCCGGCGAGACAAGACACCACAAATGTATTCCAGAATGCAGTTTATGAATTGGTATCGTTGGAAACCCCCATCGTTGGATCACCGTAATCCGCATTATTTCGAACAACTATATGTTATACTACTATAAATTTGGGAAAAATTCAAGTCTAAGTAGCACCGAGAAACCACAGGGCGCAGGGGCTGGTCCACTCACGGACGCAGGGGCTGGTCCACTCACGGACTAACGTCCCATGTTAGTTACAGGTGATTCAGTTCATGTGAACTTTCGAACGTCTTATAACCCTCTTTGAACTAGAACTTGAACATAAAATAAAAATAAGGTTCTTTTATGAGGTCTCATGGCGCCTGCTAGGTAGGCAACATCACCCCCACAGAGCATACATATACTGCGGGTTGGCCTACCCCGAGTCTAGCAGGCGCTGATCTCCCGCAATTTGCTAAATGAATCAAAGAAACGCGGTCGTACTTTCTCTAGACCATTCCTTTTATGGCCGCGTTTTGAATCAATCAGTCAATAAGTTTAGAAATTTCAGAAAGTTGTCGAATGTTGTACGTAGTGCGTACACACAAATGTTCGTTGGTCTGTCCTGTATATATTTCGTCTGTAAGGCGATGGCTGGTCTGGTTTGCACCGTGGGTTTGCCTTTCAAGCGGCAAGAACTCTTAAAGAAAGTACTAAGTACAAAGAGTACGGTTTGACATAGGGTAGCTGTAGACGATATCTTTATCATCGGAAGTTTTGCATTTGTTTATTTGTTCTCGTTTGAGAATTTGTAAAATAAGCATGACTTCTTCGTTCTCGCAAAGGAAAAGAAACAAATTATCGGCATGGCATGTATGTTGTCGCTCTTTTTTCTGCTCTTTCTCAATCCTCTCTCTCTCTCTCTCTCTCTCTCTCTCTCTCTCTCT